AAGCAGAATATCACTCTGATTGTTGATTTTATTAGTACAGGTTATACATGCGACGATGTAATACTGCAACAAAGTCTAGATCGTGGACTTCATACTCCATCGACCAATTTTAAGTGTTCGCATGCAACTGGAATATTGACTATTTTCAAATTATTACCAGAACATGTTATCAATTTACAATTGACTCTAAGCGGACCACATTTTATCGGCGGACTTCGTCTCTGTTTTTTAGCACCTTCAATTACAAATGTTGATGCTCATTCAAAGGTTCAACAAATGGATACTTGTCAATTCTTTTTTACTCCAAATCGAACATTAACAAAGAATCCGACAATAAACGTGAAAATGACCAAAGTAATCAATCAAACTGCTGGCTTGACAATACATAATCATACAACATACACAGGTCTTTGGCTACCTTCTTTTATGACCGCTACTCTCACGGATGAACTACTCTTCTCGCTAGATGGTGAATATCTTCGTTATCTATTCAATCAAACCACTCTGGTTGTAATGATAACTGAATCTGAATTCTATATGAAGAATACGCAAGAACCTATTGCTCGTCAATATGAAATCATGTTTAACACGATTCTATTTGCAAGTAAGGCTTTAGTAGTAATGACTTGTAATAATGACTGAGTGTCGTCTGAACAAAATACCATATCTGAATAATAGAGAAACAATATCTAGTAGAAACACAATCATTAAAAAATTAATGTAACTAGACAAATCTCAAAAAGTCGATGTTTGTTGAGATGAGCAAGTGTAACATCAAGAAAAAGTTTTGTCTTGAGCAAAGCGAAAAAATGAATCTATCATGAAGAAGTTCTACGGTGACAAGTATAAATGCGTATGTATGTGTATATATTCATTTTAGTGTTATGCCTCGACTTATTTGGACTTACGTTTTTGATTTTAAAACTGACTATCATTCCTATCATTCGGTTCATGCGAAGACGTTTCTCTAACAAAGTGAGAAACAGACGATTGTCAAAAAGAGGCCGAAAGAAATGTATAGTAGCGTCAGATCTAGTTGATACTACACAGTGCATCTCAATACAGCCGCTGATCGAAACAATTGAACATCCTGTGAGAAAGAGCAATACAACAATTTGTACAGATTATGAAAGATCATCTGGACAGTCGAAATACTGATATCAAATTCTTCGTTCTTATTACGTTTTGTTGTTTTTTTAGAAAGACAAAAGAAAGAAGAACTGAATATAGATTAATTAGCTCCGACATTAGATCTCATAAACGAGATGAATAATTTATTTCTTAATTATTCCATAAATGCATACTTTAAACTACCTATGAATTCTGTTGTCACTCGTCAACGAATAGTTAGCAAAGAGAACACAAAAGTCGATCTGTGACCTTCTTGAACAAATTAAATGTTAATAGAATACATGTTTTATTTAAAGAAATGTAAAACTATACGAACAACCATGAATAATAACTGAATTTAACAGTAGCCGCAGAAGTAAGTAGTAGTGTAATAGATACTTGGATGCTTTATTTCTTAACGTTTTTTTCTTTTCTTTTTTGGTAGAGACGACGCGTTGTACTCCAGAATATGAGCTACTATAATGTTATTATCTCCATTTCAGAATGAAAGTAATGATTTTTGTAGTTGTAACGTATGAAATTTAGACAATGTCCAGAAATTCGGCTAATATACGATATGATTTGGGATTTATGTTTTTGGTCATTCGAAGATTCAACAATCTTTGATATTGCAAAATCAAAAAAAAAATTGCAGGGATCTATTGTTAATATCATCATCTTCATTCTCAATGTTGTCAATATGATAAACAAGTTTGATATGAGAAATAAATGAGAAAATTAACGCAAAATTTTTTTTAAAGATAGCAAATCGAAGAAGATCAATAACTATTTCACTATCTATTGGATTGACAACTTTTGATAGTGACACTTAGTAACAGCTGTTCCCAAATGAATCATACTTTCTTACGATCGAACTAGAATTGTTTATATCTAAAACTACCATTCATGATTTTCTTAGCAAAAATAAGAAAAAAAAATTTGTCTTATTAAAGCTTGCTTATATGTTTGAGTTGAATCTTGAGTTAGTATAAGTATATATTCTCTAGCAATGAAATCTGCTGTTTCCTTTGTTAATTGTGGTTACCCATACTTTAGCAAAATGAATATTATTTTTTTCATAAGTCTCAAATTAATAAATTTCGTTCTGCAAAGAAGATTTTTTCATCGAAATAGATTTTAAAAAGTTTTCATGTATTATAATCTTGTTCCATATTGCCGTTATCAAGCATAACAGAAATAAGATCGAAAAGTGATAAGGGTGTGGGAATTCTTTTTTGCGCAGCCATGCACTCACACCCTCATAATACTGGTTCATATTGTTTACAAGTAACCAATGAATATAATACAATAACAACACATTTTGATATTCTCATAAATGTTCATATAATGGTAGAAATGAATTCTTATCATTGACAATTGAAACAACTTGAATAAATTTTGCAAAAGTGACAAAGTTTTGTTATAGAAAAATAAAGATGTTAATCAACAAATATAGCCACAATTAGAATATATGCCTGCTCGTAGAACTATAGTTGATATTTGACAATAAAAAAAAAAAACAATGCGACATCGATATTTTGTATTATGTTAAACAGTATTATTTATCTTTCCAAGTTAATTGATAGTGAACTGTATCATTTTTTGTTAATGATATGGATATATATTTATAGTTGTAAATTAGAATGGAAAATACCAAAATAGACTGATGGTGAAAATTTACAATTTCAAACAAGTAGAATCAATGTGAATAAAAGGAAGATCTACAATCACATTCTAGTCATGAAATTTTCTTTTCTCTACGTCCTTTTTCATATGTTCATTCAAAACGCTGAAATCTATCACACAAGTAAAACTTGAATGCTGAATTCAATTACTTAAAATTTTTTTGAAAAGTTGCCTGCACAACAAATCTTTTGTATCTGCTTCACAGCATGGGAACGCTTAGCACCTTAGGAAGAACGCGACATATACATGTCTCTATGTACCAAGTAAAGCTAGTCTTTTTTTTTAATGCTTTGATAATACTGAAGAAGAACGTAAATCTCAATGGACCAGAACAGTACGAATATTTTTTGCCGTTTTCGATACACCAGATGAATTCGTTAAAGTACTCATTATGATAAGACTCTTTAACATAGAGAGTCACTTCTTTCTACCTTTACTAGTTATTCTTATGTTCATCTTTCTGTTGTACGAGATTATGTTCTTTCTGAGACAGATATAATTGGAAACATTGAAATAATCTAAGTAAAATCAACATCGAGAGCGATAGTAATACTATTCTATTTTATGACAATTATATATATATATATGAACCTAATCAAAAAAGCAGCTTAGAGATAATGAAGAAAATGCTGTTATAGAATGGTTCTAATAGCTTTTTATTATCACAGTATATGAAGTTCTTTGATAACTTCATTCTTGAGGCTATCTTCATTATGTTAATACAATACGATAGTAGTTTCAGCTATATTTCTTCTATTTAGTAAGTGTAAGAAATTTTTATTTGTTATATGACATTATTTGATTGTGTAAATAATTGCTTCATTCAGTAAGTTATTGATAAAGAAAAGATTTTTAAACATTTATTTTTGAATTTCTAGGTTAGAAAGACACAGTAAATAAGAAACAACAACAAAAAAAAAATTCAATACAAGTTGATATGATTCAATTTTTGAATAAACGAAAAGTTAAACTTGTTGAAGGACTATAGTTTCTTTGACATCAATAAGGTTGGCCAATTTAAAAGTAAAATGTACAATAACAGTCTACAAAGTAAAAGAAGTATAGCATTAATAGAAATGAACGAGATAAACTATTTACTGTAAGAATAAAAACAGCAAGCATAATAATAATAATGACGGAAATACCTATTGATGAACCCGTCATAAGAACTTTATCTGAACCATGATCGCTTATGCTTCTGGAGTTTAATGCTGTAATACCAGCAAAGAGGAGAATCCAAATTAAAATGCCAAGACCGATAAGTCCAATTATGCCCAGCCCAGCAAACTGAAGGATAGAAAATGAAAAGATTAGTTTTAATATGAACATTTTATTGAAAGAATAATAATCCAGCATGTTATTTTACTTGTTTTCAGGTATTCTCAAATACAAACGCATATATATATATATAAGACCTTGACACTATTAAAACTTTCAAAAATCGATTTATATAGATTTTTTAACTATGATTCTACCATGTCGAACTTGAATAGTTTTTGCGATGTCTTCGTGCTAGAGAAATAGCAAAAGTTATTTTCATAGAAATTTTTTTGTCGAGCATAATTTTAATTTGACTTTGCATTATAATATAATTGCACATAAATAATTTTTATTTCAAAATTATTTTAGAGAGCAAAAATAGAGATTAATGGAGATATGTCATCAGAAAAATTTATTAATCAGCTGAATTTTGAATAGCGTTGTAAATCTCTGAATAATCACTATCATCTTAATGTAAAACATTTGAAGTACGTACATCAGTCTGTGCTCTCATTCAATTTTAGAAGAATATCGATCTATTAATGGAAAACATCAAATAGTCTCAATAAAATATAATTATAATTAAAATTAA